ACCTCTGTGATTGCAAACAAGGGTTTTGCCACCAAGTACTAAGTCATGTTTTGCAGAGGGGTCAAATACTTATTTCCCTCACTGTAAAGGGGTGAACGAAAGCAGGATGGACTACTTTTGGAAAACTTAATTTGATAATGAAAAGAAACCCACAAACGTGCCTGGGAAACACGTGGATGAGGAAACAAACACAGGGTTGAGATATCATATTGAGTGGTAAAAAATTAACCCGTAAAAACAAAGTTTTTCACTATAAATCATTTATATGCGTGGCATCGGTTTCATTTTATTATTCATTTCTGTTTTTCTTGAGTAAGAGTTTCATTGTTATCACATTGGTATTTGAAATTAAATATAAGGAAAGTCGGATTATAAGGTTTTCAGTTTTTGTGTGATTGTTTATATTGTACATTTTTGTTGTTTTCTTGAATAATTTTCTGTGTTTAGGAAAAATATATGATTGTGTTAGTGAAATTTTTTTTTCCTAAAAAGTGGAAAATTTTGGAAACATTTTTTCACGAAAATAAATTGTCACGCACAACGAGTCTGTGTGCAAAATGTCAGCTCGATTGTATCACGGGAAGTGGGTTAAAAAACGACCGAAAGATTTGCACGGTCGTAAGCGCGCAAGCAAGCAAGCAAGTGAACTTAATATAAAGGATTTAATAAGTATAACCCGTAAAAACAAAGTTTTTCACTATAAATCCTTTATATGCGTGGCAGCGAACTTAATATAAAGGATTTAAAAACATATTCGCCTTTGGAGGACGCGGGGATCGATCCCGCGACCTTTGGCATGGGAAGCGAGGGCGCTACCAACTGCGCTACTCCGCCACGGCCTGTGGAGGGGTTACGCTCTGGGCTCTTAGACTGTGACGTTCAGCCAAAGCCATGAATGAGTTCTATTTGAATATATGTAAAATAATTTTTGTTTGCCTAAAAAGTGTAAAATTTGGGGAATTTTTTTCACGAACATTAATTGTCTGGCACAACGAGTCTGTGTGGAAAATGTCAGCTCGATTGGATCACGGGAAGTGGGTTAAAAAACGACCGAAAGATTTGCACGGTCCTAAGCAAGCAAGCAAGCATGCGAACTTAATATAAAGGATTTAAAAATAGCAAGTGGGCCTGGACAGGACACATCTGTAAACGGCTCTTGACAGAATGGTAGCCAAAGGACAGACAGGCCCGAGGTAGTGACTACGACGGTGATGTAGTGACATGAGCACATGCTGGATTGTGGCAACGCAGAACCGTAAGAGACGACAATGTCATGAGGATGGCTTCAGGCAGCAGTGGAGAGACAGTGGCTGATATTGAAGATGGTGATTTGCATTAATCGGATCACATATATTACTAAAACATGACCGGGACCTAAATCTTTACTTTTCATTAATGAGACGCAAAAATAGTTTGAGGTTAAAGGTTAAATCATTATCAATCTGGGTTTATTATGCATGCCATTAAGGACACATCTGGGTTGGTTTGGATCTATATCCATTTTTGTAGCTCTCTATTTTAAGGTTATATTTATGAACGATCCACATTTTAGAAAAGTATATTGTTTTGATAAACGTGTTAAATTAAAATAATTTAACTTTTTCTGGATTATAGCTTTAGTGTGTTGGGATTGCTTTTGGACTATTTTATTGTCCAATTTCGGGATCTATCAATCTCTACTTGTTTAGTTTCCAAAAATGAAATTACATATATTATAAATGCTAATTAGTGCCACTTTTTTCTAGAGTCAGCTTGGTTTTTTTGATGGGAAGAGACTGGATCCCACAATAGGAATGTAAAATGTCCACAATTGGCACAGAGTTTGCAGAAATGAGCAATAAAAAAAACATTTGTTAACACTACTGCCCCCAAAGAGGAAATATTTGTAAAATAATCTTGGTTCTTTCGGTAAAGTCACGTAGAATGGAAATAATAAAATAATAACAATAAAAACAATAACATTCTCACGACGTTTCGATTGCAACACAAGCAATCATCATCAGGTGTGAAAACCACAGCGAGCAAATTTGAAAAAGTGGCGTTTTTTTCTTAATGTTAAGCACCACGGACAGCAACTGGCGGTTGTTCCGACAGATGAGTCAATTTATGCTCGCCACGGAGGAGGGGGGGGAGAAGGAGAATGGAATGCGGTCTGAAAGTCACCGTAAGCGTGAACACAACCAATTAAGACCCGAAATGGTTTATCAAATCCTTCCAATGATTGCTAAGCCAGAATCCATCTTCTCGGTTGAAATTGTCTCTGTGTTTGTTTTTGTGGATAGCCTCATGAACGAATCTCTCATGGTAGCCAGATGGCTTGCAGAGAACATCTGTCTTGGAGAAGTCAATGTCACGTGAGCCCACTGAATTATAACAGTGGTCTGCCACGGCTGAGGTGTTAGTCCTACCATGTTTAGGTCTGCTTTGTGTTCACGGATGCGGTCCGAGACATGTCGTTTGGTTTCTCCAATGTAACTGCTACCAACATTTCTTGCTGTGGTTTTCACACCTGATGATGATTGCTTGTGTTGCAATCAAAACGTCGTGAAAATTGTATTATTTTTATTTTTATTATTTCCCTTCTATGTGACGTTACCGAAAGAACCAAGAATATGAATCTCTGCAGTCGAAATATATAAGATAGTTAACGTTTTTGGCAATGACCCTTCGATCGCTCTGCTATGAAGAAGGGACATCATCAAAGACGTTGCCCATTACATTTTTTTCCTCTTCAGGGCAGTGTTGTTAAAGAACGAATACTGAACATCTGCGAAAAAGAGCTTCATAGTTCATCGGATTCCTCCAGTAAAAATACAAATTCTGATTCTGAAGAATGCGTGGAATATGCATTATTTGTAATTGTGCACTACTACCAATGCATTACCAGATTTTTTTTTTGCTATACAATATACAGATACTTTTCAGTGAAATCATGGTATAAAAGGAACTAGACTGCATAGAAAACTAAAGTATCCATGGTCATGAGTGGCTTACTGAATGCTGAACTCAGCACAAAGACCAAACTGATCGTGGCAAACGACGTTGATGTTGTGATGTGAGTGTTGATGAAAAATCTTCTCAGATATACGGATGATAATAAGCAAGAGTGTTCATGCTGGCAAGATAATGTTGACACTGCTATAAACATTCTGAATTGTTTGTGTGTATTCTTGAAAAGTACTAATTTCAAGTGAAAAAAAGTCTCGAAATTCATAAATCACAATTTGCTTCAAATACACACATTTTATACCTTTAGGAAAATATAGTGACAATTTTTTAAAAACAGATTTACTATATACCGGTATTCATATATTGACGCTGATTACATTTACACATTAGTGTAATTTCAGTGCTAGTCTGATAATTATGGCCTGCATTTAGAGGAATATCTTTTAAATTTTAAATAAACATAACTTCGTCGTGTTTATCACTGTCTCGGTGCATTGTAGAGAGCTCCGTGAAACATTTAAACCATTTCTTTCTTCTTTTCAAGCAGTCACTAAGCATTAAATGCGATAGTGTAATCATAGTGGGGAAAAGGTGCGTCAAGATGGTCTAAAAGTGTGCCAAAACGGGCAGTATATTTTAAGATAATGCAATAACAATTAATAGAGAATGCTCAATACACTGCGGGCCGCACAATCAGCATTGTAACTCTGAGTGAAGGAAAGATTCAGCACTTAACAATGCGCACGGACGCGTTATCACTCAACGTATATATTGATAAGAGCACGCTGCGTTAGAATTCGACATCAACGCTGTGAGCCCCGTGTCACAAGGTATACTGAGACTGTTATTGATGATGTGGGATATCCTCTAAATTGTGCGTCCTGTGTGTGTGTGTGAGGTCACGCGAGGGGGTTATATTTAAGAGCGTGCATTAACAAGATAAAACCTGATAAATGAAAAAGCCCTTTTTAAATATTATAATTGAATAAAGGCTTTTAGAATTATTGGCGACATAAAAAGAGTCAATATCTTTTACGACTGTCTATATAACATACAGCACAGATGTACAAAAATACAGATTCGAATCTGACATTCTATTCGTAGCCTGGTGTCATCACTTTTACAGTTTTAGTTACCGTTATTATCCCATACATTTTGCCTGTTCTGTTGCAAAAATTAGCATACAATGCCTCTCCCATGCATGCGTTGAAATACTGTACATAATCTGTATAATGCCTAAGCTCTATTGATACTGTGAAATTATTTTAGTGATCATATTGTGAAAAGATTATCCCTCCGTGCTTTGGAAGGCTCGTGTGCCGTGCATAAATTCAACAATGTTCCGGCCTTCTATAAGCAAATTATTTTAATAGCATCAGCAACACCCCCCCCCCCTCCCCGCATTATCTTTATAGAGAAACAACAATCTTTTTGGCCTAGCCTTCCACCCCATGTGTTGCCGACAGATAAAAGAGTGGCCGCGCGCGTGGCGTCACATCTACTACGTCTTCCAATTCTCCCAGGATTAGAATATTTTCATTATTCATGTGCAAGCTAGGGGAGCGTTTTGGCACACCGCCGCCTGATCGACACGATCACGTATTCGGGGGGGGGGTGGGTGGGTGCTAGCGGTGGCGGCGGCGGTGGTGGTGGGGCTGGCTTCTGTGGCCGGTGAGCGACTCCCTCTCGGCTTTGGCTATTTTTAGCCGCGTGGGAAGAAAATGCTTTGTCCGCGATGATTTACAGCGGTGGCGGCAGCAGCAGCAGCAGCAGAGCGCAGAGCGCTCGCCGTCGTTACGCCGCACTGCATCGAGCGCCGCTGCCACTATAGCAGCGGCCGCAGCCGCAGCAGCAGCAGCAAAGGCCCCCCGCCACTGAAGCTGCAGCAGCCGCTCTTGTCTTCAGTCACGGCGCTCGGTGCGACAAGAAGCGGCGGTGTGTGGGGGAGGAGGAGGAGGACGGGGGGTGGGTGGGTGGGAGAGACCCTCGATCCAGATGCAGCAGCCGGAGTCTGCAGCACGCAGCCGAGCAGTTGACTTTTTTTTTGGGGTTCGTCCTCTTCTTCTCCTCCTTCTCCTCCTCTTCCTCCTTCCTTCTTCTTCATTTGCGTCCGGACAAACGAATGGGCATGTGGCTGTTGGCGCACGAGACACCGCTGCCGTGAGTCTCTAAGCCGGGCTCGCTTTTGGGGCTGAGCTTGGCTGCTGCTGCTGCTTTTAACCAGGGTCTACGACTGAAGCATGAAATACAAGAAATTCTTACCTGTCATTCAGCTGGCCCTGGGGGTGACTCCGGCCAACCGGGAGTCGATGCTCCCAAACCATGGGCATCCAAACACGTGGATAACTCTGATGTGAGTATGTCTCTCGTCCGTGCGCGCTGTGCATCACGCACGGGCTCTTCCGAATGATGCGGTCGGAGCGAGGATGGATGCGGGATGAAATCGCGTGTCATTGTCCCCCGCTGTTTTCGTGTTGTTGTTGTTGGTGTTGTTGGCAGTGGGCTATGGGGAACCATGCGAGATGTCACGGGGACATTAACTGTAAAATGTTGCTGACTGAGTGAGTGACGAGATTTTCTTTTTGCAAGCAAAGATTTGCGTGCCGTGTTAGAGGTAATTTGCCAGATGTTCTTAAATAAAGTATGCACCGCATGCTGTAAATGTAATAAGTACGTTCTGCATTGTATGCACGTGGCATTCATTTAATCTCCTGCTGCCATGTGCACACACTGTGTGTTTATGTTGAGACATTTAATGGACACTTCATTGAAGGCACTTTTGACCTTTTTTTAATTGCAAAGTAGGCAAACTGAAGCGTGGACGTGTCGTGTAAACCCTGATTTTATATTTTAAAAATGTAACGGAGTAGCATTAATGCGTATTGTTATTTTGAACATCACAGATATCCGTTTCTATAATTGTCTTAAAGTGTTCGTCGTTTCCGAGTGCTGCGAGCCAATAGTAGTTCTTGAAGGGGCGAGTGAAATAAAATAAAAAGGCCCTTTTCTTTTAACAGGCGGCGAGAGACAAAACACAATTCTATCAGTGAATGCGGTCTGCAGCAACTAAGTAGAAACATGACACTCGCCACGCTCCCCGTGGACAGTTCAAAGCAAATTGATCTCCATTGATTTCTTTTGCGAGAGTAAAACATGATCTGTGTACGGTGCGGTGAAGGAAAAACATTATGGATCTATGCAGATCGCGTTGCTGCTGTTAAGTTTGTGGTCTGTATTTTGACAACTGCGTGTGTGATTGACGAATAAAAGGCACGCTCGCTGATGGCGTGTTGAGATCCGATATGCACTCATCGATTCGAGCTATTTAGATATTACTCTTGAGATCGGTGGACGGACTTTGTGTGTTTCGAGCTTCGAAACCGAGTTTGCACTGCCATAGTCATTAGAAGCACACGTGCGCTGGCGATGCTGTAATTTGTACTTTTAAGTAATAATTTGGGGGGGTCAACATTCGCCTCATCATTGACTTCTCAACAATCAAAGTCTTTTTGATGGAGGAGTCCTCATTATACCGTTGCTTTGTCTCTGCTCTACTGCGTACAGTTCTGTGATGGACAGACCGTTTAAGTGTTCCATCCTTCGTTAGGAGTCGCCTTAATTCACTCGATGACATGCTTTGCGAAAAGAGGCATTACAGAGCCCGAACGCATCTTTGAAAGGGTCAACCATTGTGTGTGTGTGCACATATACAAATGTGTGTCGTGTGTTTCGTGCATACCTGTCAACCCCGAATCAATTCAGGCCTTATTGGCCACCCCGTGCCCCTTATAAATCCCAACGTTTATCCTATAAAAAGTCCCATCACAAGGGAGAAACACAAACAAATAGACCCCCCCCCCCCAAAAAAAAAATGTTTGCTCATATTGAAACGGCTGTATGCCATAAGGACCTGCAAACTCAATTTCCCTGTACAAGAACACGGGGCAAACCGTATGGGCTGAGACGGCTATGTGTGTGTGTGTATCCTGTGCTTAGTGCTGTTGTTAATCTTGAAACGTGTTTGGAGTAGAACGCGCACCTACCTATCGGTCGCCCTGTCACTGCACGGACAGATGACTGCTTCCAGCAGCAACGGGCCTCACGTGCTCACCCGGTGTCCTCTGATTCCTATCCCATCTCAACCCTCTCCACTTCCTTCCTCCTCGCATTTTCTCCCAAATCGAAACCATCGAAACAATATTCTAGTTGGAATGTACAGCAATAACCTTCGTTAAATGAACCTCTACCCAAACCCATTGTGCAGTGTATTGCAGCTGCCCGCGTTCATTAGCTCAGCGCCCCCCCTGTTAAAGATATCGTAGAGAACTAAGAAGGGGCGACAACAAAAGTAAAAACTGGTCTCTTCAGGGTGTGGGCGAGCATCTTCATATCTCAATGGTTGGATTTTGTCATCGCCCCCCCCCCCTGGTAAATGTGTTATAAATCAATCCCATACAATTTGATTCACTCATTAGCATGCCCCTTGCATAAGTTAGTGAACATTGGCAACATTCTGTGTGTGCTTATAATAAAAAAATATACAATGCATGTACACAGAAATGACTTTGCCACGTAAGCAATTTGTAAAGTTGAACATTTTCACTACAGTAATTAATTTAACCATTTACAAAGACTTTATCTCCTATTTAGCCTAATACTGATCCTATTAAGCTTCATTCTTATCTATCCAAGCCAGATTTGAAATCAGCAGGTGAAATAACGGAGGGAAAGCTTGACCAACCACTGCGTTTGCACGCATATGTTAGCAGGCAATAAAGCAACCACATTGTGAGACCACTCAAGCTATCTCTTGATTGGAAATTCAAATTATAGACTCCGTCACAAGTCTATGCAAGAATGTGTTGCCTGGCCACGTTTTACTTGCACACATTTTGAAAATGTTGCATCGTCCCTATTCATGCTTTCATGTTTACGCTTGTGCAGAGATGCATGCTGGTTTGTGTGTGGTTCAATGTGATGGGTTTTTCTCTCTCTCTCTCTCTTATAAATTTCGCTGACACGCATGTGTGTTTGCTTACACTGTAATTATTCACAGACACACACTGTATGAGGCATCGACGTGCTTGCCCAGCGTGTGTCTTGGGTCTTGTGCTTATTTTTTGCTCAACTGCAAGAAGCACGTCACTTGCTTTGGCCAAATACGGTGGCGTTGGTGGTGATAGTGTCCCATGTACTTCCCCAATGTACTCGTAAAGAGTCATTATGTTAAATGGCTTTAGCCTAGTTTATCAAAATGATGCTGGAATAGAGTGTGACAAGCGTGACATTTCACCGTTACGAGGGTTTTGACTCAATGTGCCAGAGTGCATCTGCCTCGACATAGCTCTCGCCTTTATACGGCACCTCGAGGTTGCCGAGGCTCTTGGCCTCTGCAGGATTCGTAGGCACAGGAACCAAAACGCCCTTCCCATGTGCTTGCTGCTCACTTTTCAATCTGATTAGCACCATCCACGGCCACCACAGTGGCTTGTAAGGTTAAGTGCTTACAGCTCAATATACTACTCTACAATTTATCTAAAAGCATGGCTTGCAACATCTAGTCGACATGCTTGGTGGATGGTATCGTCCGTAGTCTTTTCACCATGAATGATAAACGTTGAGGACAATTCACAAAGCCTATGGGAGGCGTGGGGGGGGGGTCCAGTAATATTATAATGGGGGTTATAAAGTGCACCCATGGAATTGGTTTTTCTCGAGCCACGCGCATTTTATGAGCTTCTCCAGGGGAGGTGTTTTGGCCTACTCTTCTTACGTTGGACAGAATCTTGGAAGAAGGGAGGGGGATCTACACTGTAACCCCAACACACACGCACCCTGCCCATCCACTAACTGTACCCGTGTATACTGCTGTAGGTGTTGGGATTTAAAGATATTGTTTTAACTTTCCTGTCCGAGAGATCGAACTGGCGACCTCTTGATTGCATGTACAATTGTGCCAGCCATTTGCATCACGGCAGGATCCCCAGCAATATACTAATTGCGAAACCACATGTAGAATCGATCAAGCGCAGGCCAAGCACCTAACCATCAAAGGACTTGCCGAGCCTCGGTTGTGTTGTGACACACGCATGTTGTGTTGTGCTTTGCGCGTGTGTCTGCCTGGCTGCACGACAAACCCGGGAACTCGAGTTCGATTCTCGCTCACGGCCAACACCATTCACGATCATCTGAGCCGTGGCTATCCCTCCTTAAGTCGACTCGGCCTCAAACGAGTACCCGGTGCGGTGTCTAAAACCATCAACACTAGGGAGAGACAAGGCGTGACGTTGGGTACCACCGAACACCTCGTGTGCCCCCGGCCGGGTACGGGTAGCCGAGTATCGGGTAGGGTACGGGTATCGGGTACCCGGTTGCGACCTCTGTTTTAAGGCCATATTGGGGGGGGGGGGTACCCCCTTTTGTCTTTTGTCTCGCAGGGAGGAGGGAGCTCTGCCTGCCGGAAGCCACTGCCGAGGACGCCGAGGACGCCACTCAAGCCACGAAGACGACGAGGAGGAAGCTCTGTACGCCACGCTGCTCAGCAGGCGCAGCAGGAGCCTGGACTGCGCCAGCTACCCCAGGCTGATGGTAAGACACGAGGCCAAGAGAGCAATCAGATGTGCTTAGATGTAAAACACATTTTTAAGGATGTTATCTGACCCAACGTTCGTCTCGCTGTTCAAATATCAGCCAGGCCGAGTCCAGGCTTTATCAACGTAATTGTTTGTGGGGGAGGGGGGGTTTTCTTTTTGACAAGTGTGGCCATGCTGCATGGATGAAACTATTCCGTAGATTTTTTTTGTTTAATTTTAGAATTTTTTTAAATATGTGGTGGTGTACATTTTTCAACAATTATCCATTTGAAATGGGTAATGGATGGCCTCCAAAATATGCAAATAAAACTGTTATCTGTGATTGTGTTATTGTAAGATGTGAGTGTCAAAAACATGTTGTTGTTTTTTAAGGCATTTTTGTCAGCAACCTTCTTCACCATATCTCCTTTTTTTCTTGCCTCTCTTTCATTCGCTATTGACCGGTGTTTCACCATTTCCAATAGATGCAACGGTTGCCTTCTGGGCCTCATGGAATGGGGTTCATGTTCCACAGACATCCATCACGTGCTCGTAGAAATTGAATGGCGACGTGACTTACCCTTGCACGCCACACTTTTCCGTCTATGTGTAGCACACTGTTTCCCCACGAGGTGCACTAAATTCACCGAGGTTAGCTCGTTCATCTATCCATTGCTGCGGCTATATCACTTCCACCACCAACTGTCTTGGTTTTTCACAAGGTTGGAAAATGTCAAATGTTACCTTTGAAAGATCCATATATAGTTTTTTTTTACACTTGGGACAACAATGTACCTAATTTGGAGTTCATCTTCTTGGTTATTTCGGTAAAGTCACGTAGAAGAGAAGTAATATTATGTTTTATTTTTATTATTTTATTACTTCCCTTCTACGTGACTTTACCGAAAGAACCAAGAAGATGAATCCCTGCAGTCACGAAAGCTTTAAATCGAAATTTAATTTGGAGTTGTACAAAAGGGTTTTATTTCGTGTGTGGTGTAGATGATGTGGTTGAAAAGATACACAAAATTACTTGTGACATATCACACTTGCTTGTCATCCTCATCAGCCGTGCTCAATCCACTGCTGGATGAAGGCCTCCCCAAGCCACTGCCTTCTCACAAACTTGCAATGCAGCAACAATATAGCCAGCAGCTCCACATGATCTGCTGGAATCCCTCCATCTTCTCAGTCGACGTTCTTTCCGATGTGTTTCTTTCCTTGGCTGTCACTTCCTCGTTGTTCTTGATCACCAGAACATCATTTTTCATCGCGACGTATCCTACCTGAGCCCAATTTGACCGAAGCAGGTTTGATTGCCATTAGCATGCTTATATTTCGATTTAAAGCTTTCGTGACTGCAGGGATTCATATTATTGGTTCTTTCGGTAAAGTCACGTAGAAGGGAAATAATAAAATAATAATAAATAAAACAAAATTATCACGACGTTTCGATTGCAACACAAGCAATCATCATCGGGTGTGAAAACCACAGCAAGGAAATTTTTGAAAAAAGTGGCGTTTTTTTCTTAACGTTAACACCACCGACAGCGACTGGCGGTTGTTCAGACGGACGAGACCATCTATGATTGATTGTGTTCACGTTTACGGTGACTTTCAGACCGCATTCCATTCTCCTTCTCTCCCCCTCCTCCGTTCCGAGCATAGATGGACTCATCCGTCTGAACAACCGCCAGTCGCTGTCCATGGCGCTGACGTTAAGAAAAAACCGCCACTTTTTTTCAAAAATTTCCTTGCTGTGGTTTTCACACCTGATGATGATTGCTTGTGTTGCAATCGAAACGTCGTGAGAATTTTATTTTTAGCATGCTTGTGTTCTCTATTCCTTGTCTTCCTCTTTCTGCCTCTCAATATAAGTCCATGCCTCTTGGCACGTTTTTCAGTTTTTCTTCTCGATGTGCCATGAATAACTTTGTTTCTGAACCATGTCACAGCAGTTGGTACACACTGATTGCTAACTGTCTTCAGGCTCAATGGTATGTCAATTATCATGATCATGTTCAGTTTTGTCAAAAGCACTCCAACCTGCTGTGATGTTTCTGTTTATTGCACTCGATATTGGTATTCAAACTACTTCAGTACAACGCGATTCTCTTTTCAATGTATTCAAGAATGGTAAAGGCAGATGTACTTTGTGAGCTCTTGCTACTCCTTCATAGTTATTGACAATGAGGAATGTGCATTCAGTCCTGTGTATATTCATATTTTTGGTCAACATTCCTAACTGTTTACATTGATTGCTATTTACATTTTTAAGTACTATTAATGGACACTGCTATGCAATCCAACTCTGAGGTCTGACATATTTGTGAACAAATGGATAATGAAGTAGCTTTTACGACTCATCATGCGCATTGAAGGCTATAATCGCATGAGATCAAGGAAAGGTTTTGATTGTGAAGCAGGTGGACGTGTTATTATGCTCGAGAGGAAAAGAGCCATTTGAGCTAAAGACGTGTTCTGGTGAGTGTAGCTCTAGCAAGCACATTTTCTGTAATTGTTGCAGTATTACCGGACGTACGAGGTATCGTCGCATAGACATATTTCCAAGGTGGTTAGATGTTAACTACCTCGCCTGGTATATAGATGTCGTGGGTTCGATCTCGACCCTGATGCCTGTATTTTTGGAGTTTACATATCTCTCTCCCCCTGGGTTGTGTCGGATTTTTCTCCAGGCCCTCTGGTTTTTGCCTGGTAGGATGGGGATGGTTTAGTTATATTTGTATGTATTTGGGTGATTTGTTTACCTTTACTGCACTTTGCACTTCTATCATGTTTCAGTATTGTTGTTGTAACTTTCTTGCCCACCCCTCCTGAACACTATGAAAGAGCTTTATAGCTCACTGGATTCCTCCAGTATAAATCAATATTTTAAGTCCCATTTTCCCACCACATTTGGGATCAACTTGCGTTTAGAGTATTTGGCTGCTTTAAATTTTCGCACGATAAGCCAATTAGTTGAGCTATCATTTGTGGTGGCCAGGTCGCTTCTGAAAAAGAGTTATGGAGCTCAGTGGACATTACCTAGTAAAATGAAAAAAAATAAGTTTCGTTTTAGTTTAGAATTTTAATGAGGATAACCTCAATGTGATGTGTATTTCACGCCTGTTCGTAATTTTTTTTGCTTGCGTAAGGCCAATTTGAACAACTTACCGTGACTTCATTAAATTATTTGAGCATTGTCCTCTGCCATCACGAAGCGTGGAACACAAAGTGTTTTTGATGTCCTCTTGAGAAAGCGATGTCCCACGCGGGGATGTTATCTGTAACGCACTCATTCTGGCAGTCTAGAATATGTACTGACCGTTCCCTTAATCTCACGTTGTTTACGAAGTGTTTTATTAAATACATAATATACTGGGCACAAGAACCTTGCAAAACTGCAAGAAAACAGAGGAGGCTTTAATAGTTAAAGGTCTCCATCCACTGCAGTCACTCGATTGGAAATAATTTAACCTTTAGCAACCAGAAGTGAATCTGCGTGTTTATTTTTGTCACCTACAAAATGTACAGTTCTGGCACCGATGATGACCAGATTTTATGTTTTCTGACCTGGACATTATTGATGTAACTTTGTATAGTTTCCAGTGTTCATTATAATGTGTGAATCTCCTATTCATTTCACATACAATATTACAAATGTAATCACGCTTTTGAATCACAAATCTAACTGATAAATGCATGTGTCCGTTAGTTTAACACGGAGGCTTTCACGACCAATATTATCCATAGAAGTTTTTGGGTTATATCGCTTAATTATAAATGTGTCGTTAGACGCACCACAAATGATGACAGTATATTTATCCCTCTATTTACGACCAAAACAGGAGGCTTTCACCACAACTCTGGTTGTTGCCTGATGAAGCTAGTTGTAATTGCGGGCCAAACGTCGTACTCGAATTGTAAATGGTGTGGGTTTACTCTCCAACACACCAGTGTGTACTCACTTGATTGTTTTTCACAGTGCACTTAAGGCAATAATTATGCACATATGTATCATTGCATACACTACAGTACGTTATTATTTCATTCTAAGAAGGGGGGCCATTTCCCAAAACGTTACCTATGTTTTTTTTTTATATTTTCACGGCCAATGTCTTTTTGATGAATGTGAGTTGTTTTGTCCCTTGTAAATGTTGAGTTTCGCAGCACAGTATAAAGTTGTGAGATATTCTTGTCGTGTGTAAAAGACGGATTAAAAAATAAATTCAACTGCGTTTCAATGTAATAATTATTGTATAATTTACTTTTAATGCTTTTGCAAACACAAACTCAGATATCCACAGCTCATGAATCTAGGAAACATATCTACACCTCATTTGCTATGTCTGCTTACATTTCTGCAATGGAAGACTGAGAATTAGAAATAGGAAAAGACGCATATTGTAGTCATAACATACGATTTCTCATGCATGGAACAAAGCTTTAAATCTGAAAGATAAATTGCTGCAATTTTCTCAAGAACACAACCAGTTTTTCCATATTTCCTTTCAAACCATCACTAGTCTTGTGAGAAAGTGTATGCATACGAATCGTGGAATATACATTTTTTACAATGTAAATGCAGGCGGTTTGTGCAGAACACACAAATCTAATGCGTATGATTGTTTAAGCCGTTTAGTCTGGTTCTGTATTGCAATTAAGATAAATGCATTAAGGTGCTCTGTATTTAACCCACAGGCCCGTTAGAATCTTACAGTGTCCTCAATTGTGTGCTCCTCCGATGTGTTTGAGTTGATATCTTCTGACAACGCCATGGCCTGTCAGCTCTGAATGGCCATGGACGTGATTAGATTTAAATGTAAAGGAAAACAAGTGACAGTCCGCGCTTATTATTTTGTTCGGGAAAAATATATATTTCCTGTATAGCACAAAAAAACATATCACACGCCACTACAATTACACTAGATAACATGTATCTGTTCAGATACTGCACTGCATTGCTGTATGCTACAGAGTGCATGCAAGCATACACGAAGGCAACACACACGCGCA